GCACGAGTATCGTTAGAAACATTAACTTTTGAAAATAATAAGCTACGGGCGTCTTGCAAACGTATACCAAATTGTTGAGGATTTTCATTTTTTTCAGGTTTCATTGTAATGATGTCCTGTATAACACAATCAATTGATCTTTGATCGGAGAAAGTTGCAATAATCGCATTTTTTACTAAATCCCATGAGTTTAATTCTATTCTAGAAGCAATTAAATCTGCTGCTCTACCAACTAGTTTGCTTAAAATTGTATCGAAAAGAGCAATATTAATGGCTGCGCCAGCATTATTGGGATCGCTATGAGCTGTTAAAAAATTAGTACAAGCATTTATAAATCTATTAACTTGTTTTGGATTACCATCAAAACTAGGTATGTTATCTGCTTGATAACGAACTAGAGTATAATTTGCCATTTTTAAATTATTTTCTTAAAGAATCGAAATTAAAAATTGACAAAAACAAAAATTTTTGTTTTTGATTTTAAGAAAAATAAGTAAATAACTAAGTAATAAGGTAAAATTAGGATTTTCCTAACTTGTCAAAAACAGTGTATAGCAATAAAACAATCAGGAAAAAATTAAAAAAAATGGAAACTGAAAGGATTCACTTACAGTAGCAGGAATACGATGATTTTCTTCATTCTTAACCTAAGCCCAATAGGAAAAGCGATGCTTGTCTTCTCCCTGGAACTACCTTATGAGCGTCTGGACGATTTTTGTTCCGTTTGCTCGCACCAATAGGAATAGGACGATTTTTGTTCCCGATCTCCCTGGTCTGGGTGAGCTGCGTTGCACCACTTTCGAAAATTTCGTTCGATATTGCCGTAAATCGTTGGAACGAACCGATAACTTTGTCGCACGATGCGCGAAACCGTCAACAATATCCTACCGACTGCGCCAGTTAACAACTCGAATTTTGAGAGTTAGTTTTTAAAAAAATTTTATTTTCAATGGTGGTTACAATACAACTGACTTAAACCTAAGTAAAATTAATATTTATAATTATTAACTTTGCTGACAAAGCTGTTCCCAAGAAATGCAACGGTCGGACTTGTTCTGAAAACAAAGTAACAAACTGCTGAACTCTTAAGTTTATGAGAATGTAACTGTGTTTAATTTTTTTTCCAATCAAAATTTATTTATAGATTAGTAGTGGTTATGTATACTAGGAAATTGATTGTTTCAATTGCATGTTTATGACACTTGTTGTATAATTGAAACATTTCCAATAGGAATGGAAAATTGTAGAATTAATTTTAAATTTTTCTCAATTCAATAATGATTGTAGAAGATTTAATTGCTGAAAGGGGTACCCTTGCTTCCAGGAATAGGGATGGCAAAATAAAAAAATATATCGATATATCGAATCATAATATGATATATCGAAATAACATATCGATACATTCGATATATCGAACGAAAAACATCGATATTTTGAATATATCGATATATATTTGATTTTTTTATTTTTTTCTACGAGCATGCGAATAGTGCTTTTTTTCTGCACGTATTTTAGGTCATGAAAATATCACTTTTCCGCACTAGTGTGGAAAAGTGAAATAATTATGCAATGTTAGGTCACCCCTTCATGTCCGAAAATGCGTACGTACAGGTACTTTTCCGCACAATCGTAGAAAAATAACGTTCCTTATGGCGGGTATTATAAAACTATTCTGACAGAATAACGAAAAGTTAACTTCTGGAATGACGTTACTTCTTATGTAATTCCAGAAGTTAACTTTCATTTAACTGTCAAAGTAGTTTTCGAGGTAGTTTTATAACACCCACTCTTAATCATGCGGACAGTCTCTTTTCCTCATTCAGTTGGTACGTACACGCCCTAACTGATGTTTGTTTTATTTTAGCCGACACTGTCAACTGTCAGACTGTCACAGTCAACAAAAGAACTGTGCGCACGAGCGAAGGCATTATTTTAAAATTTCCGATATATCGAATAGATTATATCGATATTTTTTTCGATATATCGAATGTAAGATATAGATTAAAATATATCGATATATTTGAGCAATAAATCGATATTCACAAAATATCGATATATTTTTGCCATCCCTATCCAAGAATGTTTATGGAATGTTTGTAGAATGTCCCATCAAGACAAAAATATTTTAATATATTTTTGAAATAATTCGTTTATTTTAGGAATGTTTATAAAATGTTCCAAAAATGTTTCAACATGTTTTTTTTTTTGAAAAATTTGCAGTGAATATTTTAGAAATGTTTATAAAATATTCCAAGAATGTTTATAGAATGTTTCAACATGTTTTTTTTTTGGAAAATTTTTGAAGAATATTCGGCGAATGCTTATAGAATGTTCCGAGAATGTTCGTAGAATATTTCAGGAATCTTCATAGGGATTTTCTGATATTTCATGGGAATTTCGTGTAATTTTACAAGAATTTTTCAAAATTCCACTAAAATTCTTATTATAGAATGTTCCAGGAATGTTCATAAATTGCACACCAGAATTCCCTAAAAATTCTTCGGAATTCCACTATAAAAATTCAATTATTTTCAAAGAAATTTTCTGTATTTTCACAGAAATTTTTTGGAATTTCATGTAATTTCACAAATTACTTTTTGATTGTTCATGAGTATTTCAGGTCATTTCACGTAAATTTTTTTGGAATTCCACTGAAATTCCTTGGAATTTTGCTGAAATTTAGAAAATAACTTCACGATTTCTTTTTGGAATTTCATAATTATTTATACGATTTTTTAAGTAGTTTCTTAAGTGTTTCTTGGAATTTCACAAGAATTTTGATTTATTTTACAGAAATTTCTTCAAATTTTGTTAGAATTCCAAATAATTTCAAGAGAAATTCAAGTAATTTTATTTTAGGAAAATTACCTAAGAAATTTCAGAAGAATTTTTTGGAATTTCGAGTAATTTACAGGATTTTTTCGGAATTTCAATGAAATTTCAAGTACATAGGTATTAATTATTTCATGGAAATTTTATGGGATTTCTAGTTATTCCGTAAGGTTTTTTTTTTCAATTCCACGGGAATTCTAAGCAACTTTAAAGAAATTTTCTGGAATTTCACATTTTTTTTTTTTTTAAATTCCACTAAAATTCTAATTTACTCCACAGGAATATTGTTAAAGTATTAAATAATTTCACAAGAACTTTTTGGAATTTCATATTTCAAAATTTCACCTAAATTTTGAATTATTCCACAGGAATTCCATATAATTTCACAAGAATTCTTGGGAATTCAATAAAAAATTTAAGTAATTTCACAATAACTTTATTTATAGGTATTATAAATATTATTATTTTTTTTTTTTCAATTTTACGAGAATTCCAAGTGATACCATAGAAATTCTTCAAAATTCCACTGAAATTACAAGTAACTTTAATTAATTTTTTTTTTTCACGTAATTTTACGTAAATATTTTGGAATTTCATAGGAATTTTCTGGAATTTCACGAGAATAACTTAAAATTCCGGAGGCATTGAGTCGAATACTCCGACAATTTCGTCGTAATTCTTTCGCAGTACCACATAATTTTACCGGAATCCGACTATAATTCTTAATAATTTCACAAGAATTTTTTATAATTGCATGGAAATTTAATGTAGTAATTTTTACGGGAATTTTTTTAAATTTTACGAGAATAACTTGGAATTCCGGGAGAGTTACGTGGAATTTCTGAAAAATGGATGGAATTTTTTCGAAATTCCACATAATTTTACCAAAATTTCATCAGAATTCCTTTGAAATTTTACATCATTTCATCGGAATTCCACGTAACACCACTGAAAACCCCAATAATATAAAGCTGTTAATAGCTTATTACTTCTTAGTTATTTCAAATTTCAATAATAATTATTATTAATTGATTAATAAAGATTTGCCTGAAGTTTGAAGTATAAGGTAAAATTCAGCCCAACCGTAACAACGGTATCAAGATCTCTGAAATGTACTGGAAAAATTCTTTTTTTTTTTAGTAAATTTAAAAAAAAAAACATTGTACATCATAAAATTTTTTACGGAATTTCATTTAATTCCATTTAATTTTACTGAAATTTCGCATAATTTCTATAAATTTTCGCATAATTTCTATAGAATAGAATAATTCCATGTATTTTTTCTAAAACTAATTATTTTTTCTTTGGAATTCCACGTCATTACTTCTTTAATTTCATTTAATTTCGGCATAATTTTGATGGAATTTAGCTTACTTTTTAAAATTCTATATAATTTCAATGGAATTTCGCGTAAATTTTAGGGAATTCCGCATAATTTCTATGGAATTCCGCATAATTTTTATATAATTTTGCTGAAATTTGTTGTCATTTCTCAGATATTTTATTGAAATTTAATGGAATTCCATGTCATACCTGGAAATTCCAAAAGAAATTGCAATATATTTTCGCATAAAAAATAATGTAATTTTTATGCAGAGCAAAATTCTTAAACTTATTCTTCAACATTGTAGTAAACAAAAACTTTAATGCAAACCATTTAGCTTTGGTATAAACCCAAACAAATCCTAATTACCATAGAAAGAAAAAGAAAATTGCATGTCTTATTTGCACAAAAATATTTTTAAAAAACTTCCTTTTTAATCCTTGACTTCATTCAAGCATTGCACAAAGTCAATATGATGACTAGAATAATTTGATGGTCAAACAACTTTCTTTTCGGTACCATCATCAACCAAATATTGAATCAGTACCAATTCGAGAAGCGTAAATTAAGCACTTAAAATTCATCAAATTACTCTATTTAAGTTTAACTCAATGATCTACTTGCGCAAATGCTAATTATTTGATTGGGTTCAAAGCGGTACTACAAGGTACTTTAATAGTGTTTGTGTATACGCGATGCTTAGTTTTTTTAAGAAAAAAATCACATAATACAATACAATAAATATTCTTCATTATTTTTACGTAATCTAATCGTCGTTTATTATATCCCACTATAAACACCTCAATAATTACACAATTATTATACCCAGTATTTTTTATTTCAGCTTGATGGTCGAGGCATTAGAACGTGACCAGTGTGATATTAAAATACATAGTTTGTGATACAAGATGACGTAGAGGCACTAATAATTTCTAGTATAAGTGAATTTTTGTGATTTAAAAATGGATAGTGGAACTAGTGAGAAAAGACGGAGCAATCCCAGGGAACGAGCGCACTTGTTTTCGTTTTTGACTTTTGGGTAAGTAACAATTTATTTGCCTATGAATTTTTCTAGTATTTAGGGTAATATTTGACAATGCGACAACGTTGTATCTAATTACAAAAATTAATACATAATGAAGCTAATGCTTTATCTTATTTCAAATTATTGGGAAGTGATACTTTTAACTCTTGTACGGTCTTGATAAAAGGAGAAGCACCTATAAAAAGTTTTTAATTTTCATTCCTTTTATTTTTTCTGTAAGTTCTAAAATTAATTTTTGGAATTTTTTTTTTCTAAAGTATCTGGGTAATGAATTATGAAGCTCATTTTTTTCTAAAATCCTGCCTGCTTCTTCTTTCTTTTTTAGAACTTCTAATTTTGCAGGTAATAGAAGAAGCACCTGGGAAATTTTCAATTTCTATTCCTTATATCTTTTCTGAAAGTTCTAAAATTAATTTTTGAAACATTTCTTTTTTCTGAAGCTTCTGGTAATGGATTATAAAGCTGATTTTTTCTGAAGCCCGTTTTTTTCTCCCTCCACTATGCTGACCTGCTGGTGAAGCGCTGTTTCTGTTGACATCTCTGTCCGATACGCATATTGGTCTAGGTGTAATGGTCTGTTTGCTAAAACACCGTCTCTAATGTGCCTATCCACAAGTTGTTCCAGTGTTTCAAACTCAAATGATGTAAGACTAATGAGTCTTAGGGATTTCGCCGTGTCCTGTCCTATTTTCCCAGGTTTTGGTATAAAGGATACCCTAATGCGCCTCCATGCCTTTAGTTTATACTATAGCCAAACGCTAGGCTACTTGCCCATTTCACTTTTTCATAGTTGACTACTTTTTTCGAGGTCAGCCAGCCCTTCCTAAATTCAAATTCTCTTCGAAATCTAGGCTCATTCCATGTTCATTAAGTCTGATCAACTATCTTTGAGCCGGGAAATACTCCAGAGGGAAATTAGACTTCCTCTGCGGAATGAGGCCGAACAAGCTAAATTTTTTGCAGAGACCTTCGTTTTGATGTTTTATTGAAACACAAAAAAATTTCATATGCTTACTCTTGTGCGTCTTGAGATATGGAAGGTCAAAGGTCACGAAAATCATTTTTTTTTGCGAAAATCTCGCTTCCAGTGCATCTGACGTCGAAGAACTCTAAACAAAACTTACGTAAAATAGTATTTTCTACAAAATTGTTCATATAATTTTTTTTATACGACTAACCGTTTTCAAAATATAGCGTGATAAAGCAGGAGCGCATATTCAAAATAGGAGGTCTAAAAAATTAGCACAACGAAAATGGCACACATCAGAAAAACTAGAGTACCTACTAAATTCGGGCCTATTTAGTGCTAATTTAGTACGAAAAAAAATAATTTATAACTTTATTTTTAAAAAAATTACGTGCATATGTGTGCCAGCTTAAGGTCAAATCTTTGAATATCTAGAACCTCATATTTAGTGCTAATTTGTTACATTCATGGCACGCCTAAAAAACTAACAATGATGTATTTATTACGAAATAACCCCGGAAATGTGCTAACTTAAGACTTGAATTAGCACACATACATCGAATCGACCGCGCGAGAACGGAATTCGCATGCACATATTTAGTGCTAATTTAGTACTTCCAAAACGACGACCTGAAACCACTGATCCAAAAAATAAATGGATAAACAATTCATACGGCAAAATTTGTGCGAAAATTTGGGGTCAATATTCTACGAACAGTTGTGCAACGGAACAACCTAACGCCTGCGCAGTGTCTTATCTTTCGAACAACTGTTCTAAATTTTGAAATTTCTTCATTTTCATTGGCCAGATTTTGTGCACGCCCAATACATGTATCTACTGCGCACGCTCACAGCTGTCCCAGTCAGTTGTTTTTGTTTAGATTTTGACTTCGTAAATTAGCAGCATTAAAAGTGTTCTTTGTTTATCCATTTATTTTTGAGATCAGTGCCTGAAACGAACTAGTATCACATCAGCACAGAGCTAACCCAAACTAACCCAAAATAACCCGAACTAACCGAAACTAACCCAAACTAACGTCTAAAATTAGCACTAAATGTGTGCTAATTTAGTACTCTAGTTTCATCGCGTCATCGGTGATAATGTTTGTTAACTTAAACACTAAGCCAGCATACAAGTGCTAACTCTGTGCTGATGTGATACTAATTCGTTTTGGGTCGTCGTTTCTGAAGTACTAAATTAGCACTAAATATGCGCATGCGAATTCCGTTCTCGCGCGGTCGATTCAATGAATGTATGCTAATTCAAGTCTTAAGTTAGCACTTTTCCGGGGTTATTTCGTAATAAATACATCATTGTTAGTTTTTTAATCGTGCCATGAATGTACCAAATTAGCACTAAATATGAGGTTCTAGATTTTCAAAGATTCGACTTTATCCAACTAGAGTGTGCCAGCTTAATCTTAAGCTTTTTTTAAAAATAGGGTTATAAATTATTTTTTTCGTACTAAATTAGCACTAAATAGGCCCGAATTTAGTACTCTAGTTTTTCTGATGTGTGCTAATTTAAGGAACCACAAAATAGGTGATACTGTATTATACAAGGTGTCCCCGTTCAACTGGTCAAAAATGCTAGGGTATATAGAGGAACCATAGAGAAGTAATTTGAGGTAGGACACCGATGGTCGGAAGTGCGTTGTTTCGAAAATACAGGGTGTAAAAATTTAAACTTCATATCATCTGGAGGACTAATGCAAGGCTGTTCAAATTTTCAGGAATTATTGACGTAGGAATGATATTTAAAATTTCGTATAATGCACCCCCATTTTCTACCTAGAACTACCCCCAAAAAAAATAACAAAATTGAAAAAAATGGTTTTTTTTTCAAATTTTAAGTATTTTTTTTTGGGATGGTTCCAGGTAGAAAATGGGGGTGCATCATACGTGACCTTTAACCTTCGATATCTCAAGACGCACAAGGGTAGGCATATTCGATTTTTTATGCTTTATAGAACATCAAAACGAAGGTCTCTGCAAAAATTCAGCTTGTTCAGCCTCATTCCGCAGATGGCCCTTTTTTTGGTCTAATTTCCCTGGGGTATATTATTTTGATAAAAAATAAGTGCAGTTTTGTAGTCTATTAGAGGTGTCAGAAAAGTAACTAATCGTTACTCGAGTAGGTACTCGTTACTTGCCCAGATCCGAGATAACGAATACAAAAATCGACGGCGCTATAGTTATTTGAGTACTCGAATCGAAATTCTCTATGCGCATTGCGCACCATATTTTTTATCCTTTTCAAAAGTATTTGAAATTTTGGGTTAATTTATTTGTATTTGTTTGTTGTTTATACCAAATAATATTATAATAAATATTATTATCATTATACATATTTTTGTTTATTCAACCTTCGACTAGATTCAATAATATATTCCAGTCAGAACGAGTATTTGAGTAACGAATATTTAGTAACGAGTACAGGGTATCCCATTGATGATGGGAATTGGGGTTATCTGCTAAACTCGTAGAGGTAGATTTTTTTTGATTCCACATTCCCGGGCCAATTTTTCATGACGAATCGAATGCCGCAAACCGCAGGTCTCTATCTTGTTTCGTTTTGGAGATACAGGGTGAAACTTGAAATGTTCACTTTTCGAGGGTAGTCATTATCTAGCGTATAAAAAAAGATATCAAATAGGTGAAAATTGTATCTGACGCAGTTTTTTACGTAGATTTTATTGGCGTACTGTTTTTTCAAGGTATCGCTTGAGAGATATGACACAAACTTCATCTTTTTTAAATGGAACACCCTGTACATTTTTACATTTTTGGAATACGCATAAACTTACCTTTCCGATGATATATAATTTGTCTATACATAGATATTATGTTGTAACTTGACAATATTTTTCAGTAGCGTCGTGTGTGATCCATATTCCATAGTTGGTTTGGTTTCTTTCTATTTAGTTGCTTAAAATGTGCGGAGGGATGACCTTACCAGTAAGTTTATCTAACGATAACTGAACTGGCCTTAAGCCGACGCCACACGATATGTCCAGCCATTGGTCCCAACGTTAGATCCAACGTTGGGTACAATGAGAAAATTTTGGCTTGATTTTTCTCTGCTTTTCCATCCATAGACGCGTTTCGACCTATCAGGTCTCATCAGCATGGCTAGGAAAAGCAAAGAAAACCAAACCAAGTTTTGTGCCTGTAGGCAAAATACAAATAGTACAACGGTCGAAATTTGATCGTGGCGCCATCTAAGACAAAGATTCAACACTAAACAGCAATTTTTTCTGTAATTTAGTAATTGACTATCTAATCGGCCGACCAAAATTCAGTTCGTGGGAAAACCCAGAATAGGAAAACCTATTATCTACTGATGAAAAAATTTTGGGTTGATTTTCTCTGCTTTTCCATCCATGGTTAGGCTAGCCATGCTGATGAGACCTGATAGGTCGAAACGCGTCTATGGATGGAAAAGCAGAGAAAATCAAGCCAAAATTTTCTCATCAGTAGATAATAGATTTTCCTATTCTGGGTTTTCCCACGAACTGAATTTTAGTCGGCCGATTAGATAGTAAATTACAGAAAAAATTGCTGTTTAGTGTTGAATCTTTGTCTTAGATGGCGCTACGATCAAATTTCGACCGTTGTACTGTTGGGTACAATGTTTGGCACTCTAGCATTTGGCAAATGTGCCGCTACACGACGAGGCAAACATTCTTCCCCAAATTGGAACAAACCTTGGAACAAAGGTTGAAGTATCGCTGTCAGTGCCATTTCGTTTCAAAGTAGCGCGAGTCAGGACAAGCATCGGAAAATAAACTTTTTTACAGCGCCACTGAATCTAACCTAAAAAATGGAAGAACTGTCAATCCTTGTGTGGCAGTGTCTCCAACCTGTGTCCAACATTGGTAGCCTTTTTTGAGGCGGGTCAAATTAACCGACTTTGGCCCGAACGTTGAGTGTGGTCAACGTTGGACACATGTTTGTCACGATCACACGGTAAAGCCGGCGCCACACAATGTGTCCAACCATTGGTGCCAACGTTGGATCCAACTTTAGGCACAGTGTTTTTTACTCTAGCATTCGGCAAATGTATCCGATGAGTGCACGGCTACACGATGCCACAAATCGGCATGTGTCCAACATTGAAAGGCATTCGACACATTGCCGGCTTTAGACTATTAAATTAAGTTTCCGAGTATTAGTAAGATAACATTAAATTTCCCTTGCAATCAGAAACTATTTTTTCTTGACGTTAAAACAGAGGTCTAACTATATCGTTGAAAGGGGAAAAAAATATGATTAAAGGCCGGTTTATCTATCTTCTGATAAACTTTCAGGTATGGTATGCAGTCTGACGGATAAAAACGCAATCTGTTATCCCATGGTCGGTCAGTTATCCGCCAACCGATAGGATTATAGATCAGTGAATTTATCTTGCAGATAGTTACTAGTAAATTCACCTAAAGATGAATAAACCCGGCCTTATTCAGATAAACTTTGCTGGTAACTATTTGCAAGGAAAATTTACCGTTCCATAATTCTAGTGATCGGCGGATAACTGTCGGACCAATGGGAATACATAGGTATTGCGTTTTTATCCGTCATTGCATCTGAGAGACGACGGCAAATGATAGGCCTTAATGGCGTCGAGTAGTCCACGACGGACCACAAACTTTTGAAGAACAGAGACGCAGACACGAGACCAAAAAGAGGGCCCGCAGGAAGGAGCGAGAAAGCAGAGGAAGAGACCAATGTTGCTAGAGGCTGGGTTTGCCAAGACTGTGGAAGAGTGTAGGGCTCCAGAATTGGTATATATAGCCATTAGAAAACGCACAATTGACGACATTAAAAACAATAGGAGATTATCATACTTGGTATCGAATCGTCGCCTATTGTATGATGATGACCTTAGGCCCGATTTATTCATTTCAACGGGATTGCAGATTGTCTTTTTATCCGTCATATTGCATACCTGAGAGTTCATCAGAAGATGAATAAACCGGCCCTCGATAAACTATTATTTCACAGGGTGTTTCACATCCAAAAATTACACCAGAAAATAAAACCCTATATTCAATGTGATTCGCAAGGGTTATTTCTTATGGAAAGTTTCAAACACCATAATAATATTGGCAAGTTACAACATAATATAGACAAATTATATATCATCGGAAAGGTAATTTTATGCGTATTCCAAAAATGTAAAAATTTATAGGGTGTCCCATTTAAAAAAGATGAAGTTTGTGTAATATCTCTTAAACGGTACCTCGGAAAAAAAATTCCAGTATGCCAATGAAATTTACGTAAAAAACTACGTCAGATATAATTTTCACCTTTTTGATATCTTTTTTCATACGCTAGATAATGACTACTCTCAAAAAGTGAATATTTCAAGTTTCACCCTGTATCTCCAAAACGAAACAAGATAGAGACCTGCGGTTTGTGGCATTCGATTCGCCACAAAAAATTGACCCGGGAATCTGGAACAATAAAAAAAACTACCTCTACGAGTTTAGCAGATAATCCCAATTCCCATCTTCAATGGGACACCCTGTACATTACTAAAAAGTAACGAATAGTTATGAGTAGTCAAAAGTAACTGTATTTTACATCTCTATAGTCTATACACCCTCTCAGCTTCTCAGGCTTTTGGACGAAAACTCAACATAACCTGACTCCTGAGTTCTTGACAAGGTAATTAGATTCTTACGTTTTCATTAAAGGCCAAATTATGGACCAACTGGTAAGTGTCTGGTTGTTACCTAGCAGGTACTTTCGATTATCTAGAGCATAGAAAGTACCTGCTAGGTAACAACCTAACGTTTACCAGTCAGTCCATAATTTGGCCCTAAAAGAATCAAATCATAACAAACATAAACATCACAAACATGCAAAGCTTATGTTTCTGAATAAAATGGTACCAAAAAAGTACCTACCTTGCGAATTAAATGGCTCTACCATCACAGGGTGTTCCTTCGACTAGAAATCCATAATGTTTCCTATTGGTCAGTGTCGAGTGTCCCAATCAAAAGCAAAACACCCCGACGAACACTTTTAAACACTTTTCCGCATTAAAATCGTCCGGAAAAATACAAAATTTTCCGAAAAACCGATGCCTTATACCCTCGGACACGAAAAGAAGTTTTGTCGACAAGATGGCCGCCAATTCGGGAATTTACAAGGCCTACTCAAATCTCGGACATCTCTCAACAGGAAAAAAGCTAATATTAATATAATTTTCAATGTAGAAGGAATATTAAAAATATAATTAGCTAATTGCTAGTATTGTTTTAATTATTGGCTTATTTAAAAGAGAAATAAATACCCTACGAAACTGGCGCCATCTAACCGCAAACTTGCATACTACTACGTTAAAATTTGATTTAATATTTTCGATAAAAAATTAAACGTAAAGGGGATGCTTACCGTTGCATGTTTTCGTTACATAGTAGCTCGTATGAAACAATTAAACTTACCCTACTTGGAAGCTATTTTCTGAAATAACGAATTCTATTAGTAAAACTGGTGCAGAAAAAAATGTATTTTTATCTCCTTCTAATACAACCCGGCAAAAAAAGACACGAATATACTCAGTGCCCGCACTAATATTTCCAATAGAATTCCTGGGAAAAATTTCAATTTCTAATCCCTATAGGTATCTTTCCTAAAAATTCTAGAATTGATTTTTACAACATTTTTCTTATTTCCTGGTTATCAAAGTTCCTATTCTCTTTTAGTTACACATTTGGTTTGTTCAAGCGAGGCATCAAAAACAGTTTACAGGAAACGGACGTTTACGCCATCCCCGATGATTGCGATTCGAAACGTTGCGGCGACAAAACCGAAATCGAATGGAAACGCAACAAAACCATCCTCAAAATGCTATGGAGGAGGTTCGGATTACGATATTCCATATTAACTGGAGTACATTTGATATGGACTTTGTTCAACAGTATTGTTCATCCATATATTACAAGTAAATTTATTTCATATTTTGGCCAAACATCGAAAATATCCAGAAACGATGCTTATTTCTATGGTGGAATTGTGATACTTTTGGCTATTTTTCATTGTTTCTGGATACATAATTATTTCATGATGCAGTTTAAGCTAGAATTGCAAATAAAGGCCTCGTTGACTTCGTTGATTTATAGGTAAGTTTTTGCTCAAATATCCAAAAATCCTAGAATTCTAAAATAATCTTCCAGGAAAGTCCTAAAACTCCGTCCAGGTGAAATTTCCGAAACCAGTATGGGAAACATCGTAACAATCCTAACAAAAGACATCAAACTTGTGGTTCACAATATATGGACCTTGAGCGAAATGGCCATAGGCACAATTCAAACGCTGATGGTATTTTATCTTCTTTACGCAAGGATGGGTCCGCCGTCGACCATCGCCATGGGCATGCTGTTTGCGGGATTGATAGTTCAAGGTGAGAGAAAAAATAATTGTCGAATCGTGATTATTTTGTAATTCGTTTGAAAATGTATGAATTGCGCGCTTTGGAAATTTTCCTCGAACAATGTTTATCGTTTGTTGACTAAAATGCTTTGAGTAATTTGTTGATTAGAAAAGTTGAAAAAAAGATTATTTTTAAAAACTGTAATAATAAATGACGATATTCATGGGTATTTGTAATCCTAGTAATATATTACATACTCATTACTCTTTGGAATGTTGCTGGTGCATTCTTTAATCCAGAAGGCATTCCTAATGTCCATTTTCTATATCAAAATGCTGTTTTTGGAATTGAATTTTCAAATTGATTCAAAAAAATTTAGAAAAAGACAAAAATTCTGTAACTTTTTTCTTTTTTTAGTATTTTTAAGCAGAATAATAACAAAATTGAGGCTAAAAGTGGGCAAAATGGCAGATAAAAGGTTGCAGCTCACCCAGGAAGCCCTGTCGGCGTTGAGGATTATCAAAATGTACACTTGGGAGCTGTTTTTCAATCAAAGAATATACGATGCTAGAAAGTAAGTGGATTAGATGCCTATTTTCTATAATCCGATTTTGATCTTAACGTTAAGGCAGTTAGATCTCTAATTTAATTGTTATAAGATAGAAATCAAACGAGAAGAAGCCACACGGGTTATCGTTTGTCTCACTTTAAATGATAAGTACGCAAAGAAAAAGAAATCTGCTTTCTTTGTCAGCGCTGATGACAGTGGCTTCTTCTCGTTTGATTTTTACTCTAGTAGCTAATACCATGAGACGAGACGAGACGAGAATATATTCTTTCTCGTTTTATTCGAAGATTCGAGAAAAAATGAGTCTTTTGTCTCGTTTCTAAGGGAAGCTTTTGATACGAGACGAGAGTCTTTTCTCGTCTCGTCTAGATTTCTCTCAACATATATTCTCGAAATTTTAAAAAAATTTATTAGGTACATATTTCAAATTAAGGAATTAAAGTTTACAGATTATTGACAACTTTTCATGGAGCCTGTTCCTTTCTTACCCATTGAATTTTGCACACCATTTCTTTGTATTCCAGACACTTGATTGGTGAAATACAAGACCACTCAAGTGTCCGGAATATTCAAAATACCACTATACATATATCTTTATCTTTTACTTTGTTATACTTCAGTTCTTGATTTGCCATAAAAAACCAAAATTTGTATAATAGTTCTGTTTCCATTTTATCTCTGTCCCTTTCTTACCCATTGAACCTTGCATACTATTTCTCTCTATTCCAGGCACTTGATTAGTAAGATACAAGACCACTCAAGCGCCAAGAATAATCAAAATTCATGTCACTTTTTTTTTATCTTACCTTATATTTGTCTCTTTCTTAATCATTGAATTGATTATCCATCCATTTCTCACCTACTTTGGTATACCCATGGACTTGTAATATTTTTATTCCCATTTTATCTCCGTTTCTGTCTTACCCATTAAATTATACATACCATTTCCTTCCATTCCAGACACTTGATTATTGGTCAAATACAAGACCACCCAAGCCCCGGGAATAATTGAAATTTGTGTCATATTTTTATTCTCATTTTATCTCTGTCCCTCTCCTACCCATTGAATTTAACATACCAGTTCCTTCTATTCCAGACACTTGATTGGTCAAACACAAGACCACTCAAGCGCTAGGAATAATCAGAATTTGTGTAATATTTTTATCTCTGTCTCTTTCTTACCCATTAAATTTTGCATAACATTTCCTTCTATTCCAGAAATTTGATTGGTCAAATACAAGATCACTCAAGCGCCGGGAATAATCAAAATTTATGTAATATGTATTTGTATTCCCATTTCATCTCTGTCCCTTTCTTACTCATCGAATTTTGCATACCATTTCTTTCTATGCCAAGCACCTGATTGGTCAGATACAAGACCACTCAAGCGCCGGGAATAATCAAAATTCGTGTCACATTTTTATCCTACCTTATATTTGCCTCTTTCTCAATCATTGAATTCTTTATGCATTTGTCTCCTACTTTGTTATACCCAAGCACTTATAATATTTTTACTCCCATTTTATCTCTTTCTTTTTCTTACCCATTGAATTTGGCATACCAGTTCCTTCTATTCCAGATACTTGATTGGTCAAGACCACTCAGGCGCCAGGAATAATCAAAATTTGTGTAATATTTTTATCCCTATTCTATCTCTGTTTCTTTCTTACCCATTAAATTTTGCATAACAATCAGGCCTATGATGTATCCACTCCTGTTATTTTAACAGCTATGTTGTAGCTCTACATCTATACTTCTCTCTATTTTGACTTATAGAATACAGTGACAGGCAACTTAACGTTGCTGTTAAAATAACAGAAAATGATACATCATAGACCTGATTTTCTTCTATTCCAGGCACTTGATTGGCCAGATACAAGACCACTCAAGTGCCGGGAATAATCAAAATTCGTGTCACATTTTTATCCTACCTTATATTTGTCTCTTTCTCAATCATTGAATTCTTTATGCATTTGTCTCCTACTTTGTTATACCCAAGCACTTATAATATTTTTACTCCCATTTTATCTCTTTCTTTTTCTTACCCATTGAATTTGGCATACCAGTTCCTTCTATTCCAGATACTTGATTGGTCAAGACCACTCAGGCGCCAGGAATAATCAAAATTTGTGTAATATTTTTATCCCTATTCTATCTCTGTTTCTTTCTTACCCATTAAATTTTGCATAACAATCAGGCCTATGATGTATCCACTCCTGTTATTTTAACAGCTATGTTGTAGCTCTACATCTATACTTCTCTCTATTTTGACTTATAGAATACAGTGACAGGCAACTTAACGTTGCTGTTAAAATAACAGAAAATGATACATCATAGACCTGATTTTCTTCTATTCCAGGCACTTGATTGGCCAGATACAAGACCACTCAAGTGCCGGGAATAATCAAAATTCGTGTCACATTTTTATCCTACCTTATATTTGTCTCTTTCTCAATCATTGAATTCTTTATGCATTTGTCTCCTACTTTGTTATACCCAAGCACTTATAATATTTTTACTCCCATTTTATCTCTTTCTTTTTCTTACCCATTGAATTTGGCATACCAGTTCCTTCTATTCCAGATACTTGATTGGTCAAGACCACTCAGGCGCCAGGAATAATCAAAATTTGTGTAATATTTTTATCCCTATTCTATCTCTGTTTCTTTCTTACCCATTAAATTTTGCATAACAATCAGGCCTATGATGTATCCACTCCTGTTATTTTAACAGCTATGTTGTAGCTCTACATCTATACTTCTCTCTATTTTGACTTATAGAATACAGTGACAGGCAACTTAACGTTGCTGTTAAAATAACAGAAAATGATACATCATAGACCTGATTTTCTTCTATTCCAGGCACTTGATTGGCCAGATACAAGACCACTCAAGTGCCGGGAATAATCAAAATTCGTGTCACATTTTTATCCTACCTTATATTTGTCTCTTTCTCAATCATTGAATTCTTTATGCATTTGTCTCCTACTTTGTTATACCCAAGCACTTATAATATTTTTACTCCCATTTTATCTCTTTCTTTTTCTTACCCATTGAATTTGGCATACCAGTTCCTTCTATTCCAGATACTTGATTGGTCAAGACCACTCAGGCGCCAGGAATAATCAAAATTTGTGTAATATTTTTATCCCTATTCTATCTCTGTTTCTTTCTTACCCATTAAATTTTGCATAACAATCAGGCCTATGATGTATCCACTCCTGTTATTTTAACAGCTATGTTGTAGCTCTACATCTATACTTCTCTCTATTTTGACTTATAGAATACAGTGACAGGCAACTTAACGTTGCTGTTAAAATAACAGAAAATGATACATCATAGACCTGATTTTCTTCTATTCCAGGCACTTGATTGGCCAGATACAAGACCACTCAAGTGCCGGGAATAATCAAAATTCGTGTCACATTTTTATCCTACCTTATATTTGTCTCTTTCTCAATCATTGAATTCTTTATGCATTTGTCTCCTACTTTGTTATACCCAAGCACTTATAATATTTTTACTCCCATTTTATCTCTTTCTTTTTCTTACCCATTGAATTTGGCATACCAGTTCCTTCTATTCCAGATACTTGATTGGTCAAGACCACTCAGGCGCCAGGAATAATCAAAATTTGTGTAATATTTTTATCCCTATTCTATCTCTGTTTCTTTCTTACCCATTAAATTTTGCATAACAATCAGGCCTATGATGTATCCACTCCTGTTATTTTAACAGCTATGTTGTAGCTCTACATCTATACTTCTCTCTATTTTGACTTATAGAATACAGTGACAGGCAACTTAACGTTGCTGTTAAAATAACAGAAAATGATACATCATAGACCTGATTTTCTTCTATTCCAGGCACTTGATTGGCCAGATACAAGACCACTCAAGTGCCGGGAATAATCAAAATTCGTGTCACATTTTTATCCTACCTTATATTTGTCTCTTTCTCAATCATTGAATTCTTTATGCATTTGTCTCCTACTTTGTTATACCCAAGCACTTATAATATTTTTACTCCCATTTTATCTCTTTCTTTTTCTTACCCATTGAATTTGGCATACCAGTTCCTTCTATTCCAGATACTTGATTGGTCAAGACCACTCAGGCGCCAGGAATAATCAAAATTTGTGTAATATTTTTATCCCTATTCTATCTCTGTTTCTTTCTTACCCATTAAATTTTGCATAACAATCAGGCCTATGATGTATCCACTCCTGTTATTTTAACAGCTATGTTGTAGCTCTACATCTATACTTCTCTCTATTTTGACTTATAGAATACAGTGACAGGCAACTTAACGTTGCTGTTAAAATAACAGAAAATGATACATCATAGACCTGATTTTCTTCTATTCCAGGCACTTGATTGGCCAGATACAAGACCACTCAAGTGCCGGGAATAATCAAAATTCGTGTCACATTTTTATCCTACCTTATATTTGTCTCTTTCTCAATCATTGAATTCTTTATGCATTTGTCTCCTACTTTGTTATACCCAAGCACTTATAATATTTTTACTCCCATTTTATCTCTTTCTTTTTCTTACCCATTGAATTTGGCATACCAGTTCCTTCTATTCCAGATACTTGATTGGTCAAGACCACTCAGGCGCCAGGAATAATCAAAATTTGTGTAATATTTTTATCCCTATTCTATCTCTGTTTCTTTCTTACCCATTAAATTTTGCATAACAATCAGGCCTATGATGTATCCACTCCTGTTATTTTAACAGCTATGTTGTAGCTCTACATCTATACTTCTCTCTATTTTGACTTATAGAATACAGTGACAGGCAACTTAACGTTGCTGTTAAAATAACAGAAAATGATACATCATAGACCTGATTTTCTTCTATTCCAGGCACTTGATTGGCCAGATACAAGACCACTCAAGTGCCGGGAATAATCAAAATTCGTGTCACATTTTTATCCTACCTTATATTTGTCTCTTTCTCAATCATTGAATTCTTTATGCATTTGTCTCCTACTTTGTTATAC